AAAAAAAAAWGATGTCACCAAGSTCTTTTCTCTTTTAGGATGTTTTTCTTATTTGCACAGGGATACATTCAGCTAAACCAAATTGACTTAAATGTTTGACATTGCTGAGCTCAGAGTGTGAGAAGAWCAGTGATGCAACCACATGGCAGCTGTCTTTGAAGCTGTTTTGGTAGTTCCTTGCTGCAGTGGCAGTGATGTGTGAATGAGCAGCACATCATTACACTGTAAGCTGCTAAGATTTTGATCCTCAAAAAGATTTTTTTGTTTGTTTTTTCTTTTGTTTATTTTWTTTWWTTTTTTTTTTTTGTGGGCTGCTTCCAACATTGGCAGTCCAGCATGACTTGATCCTACAGGAATTCACTGCTTGAGAAGTGAGGTAACAACCTACTTTTTCTCAAAAGCTGGTGCTCTTGTTGATGCTCCCATCAACTGGTAGAAGTCAAGATCCCATCAATAACTCAGTGATGCTGAAAACCAACACAGTCTTTGGAAAGGGTTTGCAAAATACATCGGTGCTGCAGGTGGACCACTGGTTCCTCTGGGAGATGTATAGCCTTTTGTTAGACTACCGTGCTTAATTTTGGTGCTGTTTTGGATTAGTAAGAATAAAGTTTATCCTCGCCTTAGCACTTACTGTTTATGAAGGCCAAGGTTAAACTCCAGACCTCCAGCACAAAATCTGAGTTGGTTTTTTTTTTTGCCCTATTTCTTTGCCCATGGGATGCAAAACCCTCAAAGGAACTAACGTCAAGAAAGAGGCTCTGAGAGAAGATGGGCAACACCGTGTCATTCCAATACATGGTGACAAGTCGCTGTGTTTCTTCCCTTCTGCTTGCACTGCTGCCTTGTTTATTATCTCTTTTTCACTTCAGTCAAGTAATGGATCTGTGCTCTCAAAGCCAGCAGCCTTGAGAGCAGACTCTGTGCAATATTCTGTAAAGATTAAATCAGCTCTAAGATTTTTCTTTCTTTCCTTTTTATTTATTTTTTTAAGGGAACATTCATCAGAGGAACACGTGTCTGTTATATGCTTTCGCTCCTGATAATGCAGTTCTCTGCACAGAGATGCAATCTTGCCCTCATCACTCATGCAACCTCCTTGGCTGGTCGGTCCATTTGTTTCCTGACTGTGAGAGGCTCTTTGATAGAAGGCTCATTGCAAGCAGCTCTTCCATGCAGGACAGCCAGGCGTGGTGGTGGAAGTAGATATGCTGTCACCGTTTCCCCAGGGGGATATTTAAAGGGGAGAGGCAGTTATGAAAGGGATTGACATGACCCAATGCTTAGTAAAATAAACTCCCAGCTAACTGTTCTGCCATTGATTCTGTATAAATTAGCCTCCAGCACAGAACTGCAGTGAAAGGAGCTGGTGTGATGATAAATGACATTTCCTTGTGAGCCAACATAAAAAGGATTTAAACAAACTCACCTTGCTTTTCCATAGTCGTGCTTGTGAGCAGCTTTTGCAAGGTGAAGCTGATCCAAATGTTGGGTAGGGTTTAGAACAGTCCAAGCAGTGTTTGAGACTAAAACCACCTTTTGGGAAAGTCTTTTAATGAAATAAAGGTTGGATCCCAGAAGTCAGTGTGCAGTGCCCTTGGTGCTAGGTCCCGTGCAGATAGCGGGAGGATACTATTTAGGTTCAGCATCCAGTTGCCCACATGGGATTGGAGAGTCAGTGACAATTTTTGCCAATCTGAATTATTATTAGAGAGTCAAAATTGCARTTAGGGTAGAGAATCTTTTTTGCATTACTATTCTACATTTTAGGGATAGTGCTGGTGGGGATACTGGGAAGGAACTGAGTTTAAGTAAAGGGAGGGGAGATACTGGAAGGGATAGAGAGCTATAAGTGGATAAGTTGAGTAGCATGATGTTTGACTTGAGGGAAGACATGAGATCACTGAGCTTGCAAGGGAGATTTTGGGGAGGCTTGTATGTTCTTGGTGCTCCTTTGAACGTGGAATCATCTGCAACAGCTGGAAGCAGGGGTGCTGAGACAGGAGTCCTGATTGTCTGGGGTGCAGAAGGGATTGGGCAGGTTTCTGCAAGGGTTTGCCAAGGAGCTCATTGCCCTAAAGCTGCTGTTCTCACATGGTTTGAACTGCAGTTTCCCAAACTCTTCATAGAGCAGGAGCCAAAATGCTCTCTTAAACCCATGACCCTATATTTTGGTTCTTATTTGGGCAGATGACCCCTCATTTGGGTACCATAGCTATAACATCTTTGCCTTTTTAGGAAGGAGAGGAGGAGGGGAGTAGAGACCTCAGATGACCCATGAAAAATCTGTTTGTTTGGTGCAGCATATAAGTGTACAGAAACACTGCTGGGGCACTAAGCGCAGCCGGTTCCATCTGCACCTTCCAGCCACCTGCATGGATGGAGTTACGTATGTGAAGTCTTCAGACAAGGACCTTGCACACTGAGCTTAAAATCTCCAAAGGAGAAAAAGACTGATGAGTAGATTTGCTCAAGGTTGTTTGGCAGTTGTTAGCTTGGTCAGTGGTGCGAAGATGTGGGTCAGTGTTTCCCTGGGCTTCTCAGGCAAGATGGGGCGTTTGCTTTAAAAGGTTTCTCCTAGCAAGATGAAAGATAGCCAGGCAGGGCAGATCTTGAAACCTTCCTTAAAATACCCCATCACCAACAGTGGCCATCAGATGCATGACTGGCCATTTTCCTCATCTGTTACTAACATTTATTGTTCATAGGTTTGTCCAGGGCAGGTTCTGTTTGAATCTGCCATGGTAAATTGCTTCCATAGCTTATTGACTCCTACAACGCCTTCAGCCTACAAAGCCATGTTTCAGAGTTAGCTTTTTGTCTCTTTCAGACATCCTTCAGCCGTGGCTTTACCAAGAACATGAAGCTAGAGGCTGTGAACCCCAGGAACCCTGCAGAGATATGTGTTGCTTCTATCACCTCAGTTAAAGGACGATTGATGTGGCTTCACTTGGAAGGTATGTGCTGTAAATGCTTCTTGTCTTCTTTGTGCACTGATGTGTGGTTTATTAAATTCTCTCTTATCATCCATCTTCTGCCCAGTACTGCTTCCTCCAGCTTTGCTTTCTTTATRCACATTAAACAATAATCCAAATTATTAAGAATTATCTTCCCCTGTTCCCTCTGTGAGGGAGCCACAAGACCTTCCTCCACATGGGCTTCAGCAGTCAACTTCTTTGATGGTAGAAATCTCCCAACAGCCATCACAACCAACCGCTCTCCTGGAGAYAGACACCTGCGTTTTTAGAGTAGCTAGGACTTCCCAACATGTGCTCTTATGGGATCTCTTGTCCACTGTAACCTCATCCCTTCCTTACTCTTCCTTTCATTTCTTTTCCTCACCTTGATCTGTGCTATTCCATACCCTGACCATTGCATACTCGCGTCCCTCCACCCTGTGCACACGCCACTTCCTTCACCTAAAAGAGTTCTTGCAGGCATAAAAAGCAAGAAATATTTCCAATTCCAATAGCTTGCACAATACAGTTTGTGCAAGAGGAAAGATCTCTAATTGAAGCCGTTACATTCAGTATAAACATTAGCATTTAATGTAAATTCCCATATCTGTGCTAAACGCTTGCTCTAAAGCGTTAACAGAGACAGCCTCTTTACATGTTGCATCCAGAAAAGCAATGTCTTGCTGTGGACAAGGCTCTCCCAGTGCCTCTGAGCTGAATCCCCTCCTAAGAGCTTTAGAAATCAATTACTTCTTCCCGATGGAAAGCTTGGCAAGTGAGGGCTTGATGCAAAAACGTTAAGGCTTGCCCATTATAGTCAGTAGGGAATGCTGTTTCTTGGGTCTTTAAATCAACTATATACTCATATAGTACTATATCAACTCTATTCTACATATACTACAATCAACTATATTCTCATATACTAGACGGACAAGGAGAAGGCCACCTTTTGTCTTTTAGTTTTAAGTGTGAGGCTTTTTTTTTTTTTTCAACTTTTCATAAAAATCCTTTGTGCATCCCTTTTGAGTTCTGATGTATCGGTGCTAGACATTTCTTTTATAGCTCAGTACCAGGAATTGAATGATCCGCTGTAAAAGGAAAAGATGCAAAGTACTGCAGAAATAAAAAGGTATTCTCTATGCTGTTGCAACCATTGACTATAGTAGAAGACGGTTGGATTGAACTATGGAAAAAAACAAAGAAACAACAAACTCCTACTTGCAGGGTTGTAAAATATGGCTTGGTTTATGGCGCGTTATTTTGACTCCATTAATACACTGTTATTTGTAACTGATTATTTATATTCCWTTAGCAACGAGACACCTTAGTTACCGGGGAGCTCCATTGCTCAAGTCCTCGGGTCCCACCATTTATCAGAGCTCCATCTGAAGCCTTCATTGTTGTGCTGCCCATTTTACTCTTTGACGGCCCAAACGGCAGCCGTAAAACAGGCTGCAGGAGTTAAGCAGCATCGAATTAGGCATGAGGGAACATGGCTTAATAAATCACGCTTTGTACAGTAGCAAAACTCTGTAAACTTCAGAGTATTTAATGAGCAGTGGTATAGTTTCCCTGCGGTGGTGAAGTGCAGGGCCTATACAAGGCTTTGCACTTCCCATCGCTTTCTGCTGCTTTATTACTCGTCATCTGCACTGTTAATTTTTACTGGTTCATTTTAGATTTTAAAGCTATAACTTTCTGCTTTGAATTTATGCAAGTTCTAATGAACATTCACTGTCCATGCTAGGAATTTGAGGAAAACTCTCTCCTTAACCCCTTCTCTAAAGAAATTTTCCAGAAATCTGCCATAAATCATTTCCCAGAATTACTCCTCTATGCTATCCATCTTGTAAGATCTGTAACAGGCGATGGAAATTCCTCACCCTTTTTTCAGGGTCCGTGTTCTCTGCTTTTCCATTTCACCTCACAAGTCTCATGGATGTTTCTTCATTTGGGAAGACAGCACTGTAAAACACAGCAAATTAATGAGTTTCAAACAGTCTGTTTTACAGTTATATGAGTGAGACAAAATTGAGCAGTTAAGATGTTGGAAGTAGAAGGACGTATTATCAATTGCCATAGGAAAGAAGCATTGCCACGTAGGCTAGAGAAGATGTGGATAAGTCCTACAAGACAGGCACGGTGTTTCTGCAGGAAAGAGTAAATATTATGGTGTTTCCATAATCAAGAGCGTGGCTGCAGTCATAAACTTTGAAAATGTCACACATGCTTAAGTTTTTGTAAGCAGGAAAGTGCATTTGATTTGTTTGCTGGGCCAGAATAGCACCATAGAACTGTTGTGATGATGAAAATTATGCATTTTGTGGTGGACTGTGGAGCTGGAATATGTTTTAGCTGGACACCATRGCTTCCACCTGGTATAAGCTGGGCAGTGACCACTTGGTATTTTCAGAGGGAGGGAAGTGGTTTTCCAGGGAATGCCAGTGGCTACAAATAACTYTTTGCATTGTGGCTCATCCTGCTCAAATCATGTGCCTTCATTCCTTCTTCCTCCCTTCCCCATCTCCCAGTGAAACGGGGACTATACCTTTGAGGAATGATACATGAACAGGATGCAGGGCTTAGAGTATTACCATGAAGACCCTCATATATCTCTGCAGATTGCAGGGTTTCTTTTTTRTCATCATGTGAGCATCAGTACCTATTTTCATGATGCCTTTGGATGTTTTCATGCTTTCACTCTCAAAACAAACATTGATGTAATTAAACAGTGTTTACTCAAGATCCACAGTTGGTCTGAAAGCCTTTGAAGCCTTCAGGAATATTTCAGCTTTCTTCAGTAGTGACCCACAAAAGCCAAGATGGGACAGTTTTTTTTTCTAAAACAGATGCCATCACCAAACTGGAGGTTGACTCTAAGTGGAGGTTTCTCAATAGAATTTTAGAGTCAGTGTTTTGCTGGTAGGCTTAATAATTCTGTCTTTGTTAGGATTGTCATGCTGCCGGTCCCTCATGATCAACTCACTTTTGACATCTGGTGAGGAGCCCCAGTAGAAGTGGTGGCACCTTTAGAGTGGCTATCTCCCACCTTTAAAGGCAGTGACTTCAGGGTTGAGCTGCACAGATAAGCATCAATGGGGCAGTGGGTGCATAAAAGCCTGTCCTATCATCTACTGTCTTGGTAGGACCCGTGTGCATGCTTGTACTGGGATGACCAGGCGCCCAGYTAGCTTCTGCTTATTTGCTCATCTATCTCTACTCCTAAACAAGACATCTTGTTGAAGGACGTGTTGACCTCACTGGCYCTTGGCCGCTTCACTATGCACCCTTAATCTGCTCCTTAGGTAGTTTTTCCCTGGAACCACACTGCACTGCAAATGCAACAGCCTTATCACTGCTGTCGGTGCCAAATTGAAGGTGAAATGATGCCTGGATTTGACGCAGGGAAACAGATYTATTTTTATGTATTTCATCATTTTGCCTCCCTTGGTTTGTGATAGATGTTTGTATGGTGCCGAGCTCAATATTCCCATATCTAAACTGCATTATAAATTTGTGTTTATAGGTTTACAGATGCCTTCTCCAGAGTACATAGTTGATGTAGAATCTATGGACATTTTCCCAGTTGGCTGGTGTGAAGCGAATGCTTATAACCTAACTCCACCACACAAAGCTGTTTGTAAGTACATGTTGACTTCAAGCAGAATAGATAGTGTTTCAAAGAGTTTSTCTTATGCCTGTAAATCAGTCCTTGGAACTACCAAACTAACTAGTAAGCAGTAGTAATCAGTCTGTAACCATACTGTAAGAATTATTAACAAGCCTAATTACTGACACAGCTCCACACCTGTGCTGTTGACTAATTTGTACTTGCCTGTGTGATCTGTCCCTCTAAAAATGATGCTGTTTGCTTTGGGAAAGACTCCTGAGCCACGCTCCTTTAGTGGTGCTTCCTATCATCTCTATGGCAGAGTGCACACTATGAGGGACAAACTATCCAGTGCAGGGAAGTGAGTTAGGAATGCAGGACTGGGACTCATAAAATAAAATACATGAATATAGTCTATTAAGGTCATCTAGGTGCTCCCTGTCCAAGACAGAATCAGCATCACCTAGGCTAAGGAATGTTCACGTGCTCTCCTGTGGTGGAGTTTGCGCCTCTTCCCAGGTGATGTGCTCTGTTATCTTGCTGCTCTTCTAGCATCCTAGAATCATTAAGGTTGGAAGGGATCTTTAGAGATCCTCTAGTCTAACCCCCTGCACACTCAGGATCACCTACAGCATGTGGCACAGGATTGTGTCCAAGTGGGTTTTGAAGATCTCCAAAGACGGAGATTCCACAACCTCTCTTGGCAACCTGTTCCAGAGTTCTATCACCCTCACTGTTAAGAATTTTTTCCTCAAGTTCTTGTGGAACTTCTGATGCTTCAGTTTGTGGCTGTTATTACTCCGGAGATTTTCCTAGCATTTACCTAGGAGTCTAGCAGGAAAGAGAGGAGCCACAGTATTGCCATGTCCCCAGCTGGAAATCACTGGCTGAGATCGGGTGTCCTGGTGCTCTCACCGAGCCCATCCAACTCCGATCTCAAGCCACCAGATGAATAATTATCCTCACAGTTTATATTACTTAACATGTGAAAGGCAAATTTTAAAATGTGTCAGCCTTTTTGAAGAGTTAAATATTCTTATGTTAAAAATCAGGCAGCCAGGGCCTAATTTGGGAGACTACTGCTATGGCAACATTAAGCAGCCTTATYGCAATTTATAGCTGAAGATAAATTATGCTGGAAGTAATCGTACTCATAAAATATAATCCTATCCATATGTGTTTATGGAAAAAAAAGTGTTTTTATTTTAATTTTTTTTTTACATAGATCCCATAAAACACAATATTAACATTCTTGAGGAAAGATTAAATGCGCTGTTACATCTTTAAAACAGGTTTTTATGTAGTAGTGACTTAAAAAGAAAGATGGCAATAGTAATTAAGTACCATTTAATTGTGTTAAAAGTTATTACAGTCAGTGCACGTATGCAGCTTTTTGTATATTATGTGTGTACTTTGTAGGACAGAGGAACACAAAAGTATTCTTCTCTCTCCTTTATTTTTGCAGTACAAAAGAAGAGAAGAATTGCAGTTGTGCAACCAGAAAAACAGTAAGTTTTTTTGAGAGGGGCCTCAGGCTGATATTTTTATAGTGATGAATCAGATCTCAAAAAAAAAAAATACTTGTGAGCACATTAGAAGCTTTTTGCAATAGAGCTATCTTACTAGTTGGGGCTGTGTGGCCAATATCCCAACTTCTGGTCACTGGTAAGGGATGGTTAGAGAAGCATCTACCAGGATGTATCTAGTTCTTCCAGYTTCTAAAAACCAAAATTCAAGGCACTTGAGGTAGTGTGTGAAAATACTTGCAGTTTAGAGGGTTGAAATGTTTGTGTCCATTTCTGGAATATGTGTCTGGAATGAGTGGTCTGCGTGGAGGTAGGGCTGCGTTCGGAGCTTCTCCGTGCTTTGCTCCCAGCAGATTTGTATCACCTCTCAGGTCCAGCAGGAAGCTYGAACAGCTCCATCTGTGCCCTCTTGTTCAACATGTTGAAATGTCGTTTCACAGGTTACCATCCACAGTGCCTGTTGAGAAGATACCTCATGACCTCTGCCCGGTTCCTCATCCGGACACCACAGGTAACGGCATCCTCAGGGTCTTCTCCTTGATTCGAGGTGGAGGTGTCTGTAGAGAGAGGAGAACCCCAAAGAGCATGTCCTATGGGAAAGGGGCAACCAAAGCCAAATCCCGCAGAGGGTATAGACTTGCAAACAGCAGGTTTCTGTGATTTACATCTAGTCCTCTGTGTGCAAATGTTGCATCTTRCTTGGGTTACCTGGGCTTCCTTATAGCTTCCCTAGTTCAGCTAATGATGTGATGGCCGGGCTAATGAAGTGGAAATGGATGCACCTTTTTAATTGGCATCCATGAAATTGCTTATGCCAGAACTTAGTGCATCCTTATATTAGCATCACGGCTGTGTGCTATGGCYGCTACTTCAGCTAAAGGTGATTTTTTTTTTTCTTCCCGTTGCTGATGGCAGGGGGTTCAGAGAGTACAATATTCATGCAGTTAATTGCATTGACATTGCAGAAGGGGCAGGATTTAACTCACCTTGCTGCAGTGGTTTGCAAGACACGCACCTACATCCCAACCTAAACCTCAGGGCCTTCTTAAAGGGAAATGCAGAAGAAACAGGTTCTTTCTAGGTATGATCATCTGGGTTATGTGAATAGCCATCTGTCCAGCATATGCACCACACCTGGAGACACCKGCTTCTCCCTATGGGCTCATGGAGCTCAGCATGATTATCTTGGATTCAGAAAACTCTGTAGATCCAAGTTGGGTCAGATGAGTAGCACCTCAGTCCTTACCTAGTTAGGCAGTTGCTGAACAGAAGTTGTAGAGCCTTTCACCTATATTTATTCCCTGAGTCGCTTCCTTATCTGTGAGAAGCAGGTAACATGTTCCCTGTCTGCTGATATGCAATCAAATAGCTCATATCTGCAATGCAAGTTATGAAGGAGCTTCAGATCACATTATGAGGGAAATCACATCCCCATTCTCTTTCAGTAGAATGTATGACCAGAGCAGTTGCTATGAAACTTTCCTTGTCATGTCCCCTTTCCCCTCCTTCTGTACATCTAGGAGGAGGAAGTGCTTGATTTGCTGTACAAAAGTGCTGAACACACATGAATGTTGCTTTCTCCTTGCAGGCACCATCAATGGGAGATACAGCTGCCCTCAGCTCTACATCAACCACCGCTGCTTCTCAGGTCCATATTTAAACAAAGGCAGAATAGCAGAGCTACCTCARTCTGTTGGGCCTGGCAAGTGTGTTCTAGTCCTTAAAGAGGTATGGATCAGCTACCCTTTGGGGAGGATTTCAAGGGAGAATGTGAGTCGTGTTGCAAGGTGTCCAGCGTAAAAAGGAGAACTGACCTTGAGTTCAATAGTGATTTTCTAATATGGTTTTCCTTTAGTCAAGGTTGCATGCTCAGAAATGAAGATAAGTACATGCATTAGGGTTTTTTGTGGGGGAGATGACAGTTTTGAAACATGGGAAGTTTTCTTGGTTAGGAATGAGTTTCATCCATCTGTGACTATTGTGCAAGAGAGATGTTCCAACTGGAACAGGTCCTCCAGGATGGCTACTGTCCATGGTCTGTGGACAGGTCTATGGTGTTGCTATGGACCTTTTTCTCCTGGAACAAGTAATGCAGCATCCTCACTGCTGTTGTGCCGGTTCTTCATGACTGACATCCTCCCATGTGTGACCTTCTCATGGGGCCTGAGCCTTCAGGATCCAGAGTTAACAGGAGTGAAAGTCAAGCCTGTGTATGTGATGTGCTGTAGGGAAGCTGTGGCATGCTCCGATCTGGCTGAATGCAGTGGAGTTAATCCCAAACAGCMCTGATGGCAGGGAACCAAAATCTGTTCACTTAATCCTGACCAAATAATGCTTGCTTGCTTTGGGACACATCCACAGTGTGCTGAGTGCTTAMCATTGGGGAAAAGCTGGCTTATCTGAAAAATACGTGTAAAATTTCCTGCACAGACTAGAGTCCATGTAGAAATGAGAGGCAAGGTGACTTCTGGTGGGCAAGAACAGGAGTGTGGTAACGTTGGATCAAACAGTTGGCACCTTAAAAACTTTTTCTACTTGATTCTTCTAAAAATCATGATCTTCTGGCTTTCTACCCTGGATTTGTAGGAACCCTGCTTAACACAGATATTTATGATTCAAGGGTATAGCTGACATCTCTCTGCCCTCAATGGAAAGACACAGGAGCTTTAGATCTCCATTCATATATTGGATCTGTAAAAGCCTCAGTGCTAGCTCAKTTGTGGATGTTGGTGGTTGTCTGAGTGAGATGTCTCCCACCCCCTTAGCAGAGGCGTGTGAAGTGTGAGACTCCATCTCATTCACCTTTGAGAACGTGCCTGTACTTTAGAGTGACTCGTGCGTCCTCATTTGCTTGCTCTTAACCTCTGTAAGCTTCTTTACTCAACAGCGCTGTTTGATGTCTCACGTGGATAAAAGCTGGGCTGTGGAGAGAGCTCAGTAATCCAGCTGCTTGTGCAGGTGGGACACTTGGATCTGAAAGAAGCAAAAACAAAATAGCCCTCAGCAGAAAGCAGGATAAAGTGGTTGCAGAGCAAAAGTTGACAGCTGCCAAATTTGAAAGCAGGTCCGTATCGGCTTGCTGATGGGGAACGTTAGCAATCTGCTGCTACTTGAAAAGCAGACAATGAAAAAGCAGCATGGGGCAAACATGAGGCATGCACAGCCAATATTTAAACTAATGTTTCTTCCTCCTATCCCTCTAGAATTTGGATTTTCAAAACATATGTAATAGCTTCTGCAAGAACCTTACCTAGAGTTTTATGTCTTTTCTATGTTCACTTACACCAGCTCCTTCAGATTCCAGAGGAATGGAACTTATTCTCATCTGTCAAAATGAACTTGAGCAATTCTGCTGATTTTCTTAAAAATAACCTATATTTCCTTGCTGTGCCTTTTTGCAGAATTGCTTGCTGCAGGAACGAGTGTCAATGAAACACAGGGTTTTTGCTCATGGAGACATGAATGACCTCCCAAGGAGCAGGGCTGTGGCAATGGCCCACCGTAGCCCAATGGTATTTTGCAGTAAATCCAAGCTCATTTGTTTCATATAGACATGAGGGTTTGGTCCAAGTTTTAGGAAGAATGAAGAGGCATTTGGGACTTTGCTCTGAGAGGAATCTGCCTGAATCCTATTAGCTGCTGTCATGATGGATATCAGCAGCTCTGTGTCCCATGGAGAGGGGTCAGGTACCCAGCACCTGCAGTAAGCAAGAGGTGGGAGATACCTGCTGACGAACAGGTTCTGTGATCTCTCCGTGCACACACCCCATGACCACAACCTCAAAGCTTTGAAGGGCTGCGAAGTCCTCCAAGGGTTGTGGAGAAGAGCTGTCATTCCTATGAACCCATTCTCAGCACTGAGGTTGATGGCTTTGTCTCACTTTATGCCTGTAGATGTTGTGGCTTGGAGACGGCAAATGCATTATAATTATCTCTCTCATTATATTGAAAAATTGCAGGCTACTGTAAATTATGTATCAGTGTAACTTGTTTGGAATAGATAAATTATGCATAGGCTTTATTTCTGCAGCCCACAGGGGAGTGGCGGAGAAGACAAGCCTACACTGAGAGTACTGTAACATCAATCTCCTGCTTCGTCCCCTGGCCCAGTTCAGCTAAAACAAGAAGAGAGCAGATGTACCCTCCCCTTCAGCAGCAGCTGATGGGAAATCTTGCTGCTGGTGGGTGCTGAGGAGGCAGACCTCTACCCTCTGCCTTCCTCCACACTTGACCCTCAGGGGGCTATACCAAAAACCACAGCACAACAAGGATTCATGCTGCTGCCTCCTTTCCCCCAAGATCTTGTTGTTCCTTCATCACAGACCCTGCAGGATAGCAGCTCTTGAGCAAGATTTCTAGGCAATATTTTGCAATTGCAGCTTATCCGGTAGTATGATCAGAAGTACTTGCTTTAATTGTGTGTATGTGTCTGTGTGTATTTTTGCATTCATGCAAAGCTGCAGATGAGTGAAAGGTAACTTTCTGGTATGGATTACCAAACTCATTTTTAAAGCCCATCTGTTAATTATTCCCAGTGCCACCACAAATCCCTATTGGGACCAGTGGTTTCTTGTGGCTTACTTAGATGCTGACTTCAGAGTCAGAGGCTTTCCATCCAACTTCTCACTTTGAGAGGCAGGTGATGGGGGTTTAACATCACCTTTGAAGCTTATCTTCTTTCTAACATACATGTTTGAAAAAAAGAAGTTGAGATTTGGAGCAAGATATAGCAGAGATACCAGTTCCTACTGTCCAGCAACTGCACCAGTGCTGGAAAAGAGTGGCTTTATAATAGCATGTTACAATGTAACAAACTATTTTAAATTAAATTAAATTAAAATGGGTAGACTGCCTTCTTGATGTAGCTGTTGGATCACGATAACTAAAAAAAATCTCTGAACAATTCTTCCATCTATGCCAACAACTTACTATGGCAACATCTCCTAAAAACAAAATGTCTTTTTAAGACTGCAAGTGATCTGTACCCCATGAGATTTTAGGGAAATATGTTCTAGAGATTAGCCTGACTGCATACTGCTGTTGTTATTCTTAAGTCACTTTGCTCTTTCTCTATTAAAAATAAAGGACTTAAGGTCCTGACCAACTAATGGAAATAGAAAAAATCGGACAGCATTTTTGAAGGAAATCTGTTGCACTTTGCAGTTTGAAATTTTAGGAGCCCTTAATGACTTTTTAAGAGAAATTYGCATAATTAAATCAGATGTCTCAATTGCAGTGGTAAAGTAGGTTGCACTAAGCCGTAAGTGTATGACTGATCCAAGCTGATGGACTTATCATGGTCTGGATGGTCAGATAGTCCAAATCAGATAGATCTTCTATAGTCCAAAGAGATATGAACTTCATTTCTACGAGAGGGTTTGATAACATGCTCTTCAGGACTGCTCGGTGGACTTCTCCTCACCTGTTCTCCAGCTTTGGATCTAACTGTATTTTTGTAGATGTCATAYGCAGCCTTGAGTATGGCAAAAGTTAAGTCTTTATGTACTTGCAAATCTATGACTTTGGAAGCTTTATAGCTAAAGATGAMAGGTGCTAACTGGGTGAAGCTGATAGTGGTGGTGCTGTGTGATCATGCTCACAAATGTCTCCTATGGGTTCTGAAAATCCAAAGAAAGTGTCAAAATAACTTCATAGATTTATAACTTTTTTTTTTTTTAATTCCAGTTAGTTTTCTCCCCAAGAAACAAAGTATTCTAGTCTCTTCCTAGTGTTTAACAGTGTGTGAGATTGGGGGATAATGTTGTTAGAAGATAACCTTATTAGTATGATAATGGACTCCTGCTGCAAGGTAGAATGCCAGGCCCAGTGACACATATGAAATACATGATACATGAGGAGTAAAAGCTAACACCTTTTTTTTTTCATTATTGTTTTGTCCTTTCCCTAAAGGGAAATTATTATTCTGTCAAAACGCTCCTTATAAGATGAGTTTAGAAGATTACTGAGAGTCATGGTGATGACAAGCTAATTTAGTGGGAAGTGTGGGTATGTGGAGTGTCTTTGCAGGGCTGAGGYTCACTGAGTGTCTTGGATAATGCCTGAGCAAGCCAGGGTGGGTTTAGAAGAGTACATTAAAAGAGATTTTCCACTGTGCTCTTGCAGAGGACTACTTTATTTTATGGCCTGAGAGGGAAAGATATTTCATGGACTCTGAATTTGTGTGGAGATTTTGCAGATGCTACAGGTTTTTTGAAAACCTACCTTTTCTTTATGCTCCCATCAGAGCTGGCCACTTGAGAAAGTCATGTCTGGCTGGAGGGATGGGAAGGTGCACATTAGGAGAGCATTAGTATTACAGTGCCTTAGCCTCAGTTATGTCTTCTCCATGTGGAGTGCAGTCAAGTGGGAAATTCTAATTAAAAGAGGATTTTGTGCATTTAGCTGCTACAGACTCCAGTGTCTTTGCTTTGCTCCTTTTGAAATGTTTGGATTTTGAGTGAAGTTGGGGGAAAAAATAAGTCGGGGCATAAGCCTGCTTGAATAGAGCCATCTTAGACTCAGCCAGTGGTAACTGCTGCAGTGGGTTGTGAGCAAATGGAAAGCAGCTGGATAATTGCAAGTAGGGCAGTATTTTAGTTTCCCTGTCTGTGAGATCGGGAGGATGCTCCTGCCCCTCCTCATGTGGTATTTTGAGATGTACACATGAACAGAGCTGTTGCTACTATTATCAGGCACTAGAGAGGCTTTAGGTCTCTCTAATTACATTTTTTTAAAGAGATGTTCCTATAGTGTTTACAAGGGCCCAGTGATAAATCAGATTTTGTTTCTAGTAAATAAACTAGCTAGGCTACTTAAACATTGCTGTTTTGCTTGGTAATATACAGCATTAAGTGAAGTCCTTGCCCGAAAATGATTCATCCCATGTATTTTTTTGAAATGCCAGAAAATCCTCATGTTGTTGGATCAAAAAAAAAAAAATGTACTGTTTGCAGTGTGACTTGCTGGGTATTTCATAGGTGCTGAGGAAACTTAACTCTCATCAATCATTTGCAGGCCTCCAGGGAGCTAAGGGTAGACATTAGGTAGAGAGCTAAATTATATCAAAACTGATACAGATCAACTGCAGGGTCATTCATGTCCATACAAAGCACTGTGTACTAAACATGGTCTAGTGCTGTGAAGAGATTTGTTTTTCTTATGTTTATCTCCTTAGGCGACACACAGACTATTAAAGCTTGGATTCTGTAAGCTAACAGTAGGAGTTGTTTTTGTTCTTGAAGACTTTGGGTTAAGTGGATTGGCACACAGCTGTGGTCACACCTAGCAGATACAGACTGGGCTTCAGCCGTGCCTCCTGCAAGCTCCTTTCATTTTCATTTTCCATTAAATTGAGGATGCAGGGAGTGACACATGCTTTGGGACAGCCTTGGTGGAAAGGGTTTGACTCAAAGCCCAAGTGCAGTTTCAGAGGAGACCATTGGGGTCAACCCCATTCAACCTATTTGCAGCTTCAGATGGAGGCATCATCTTGGCATGTTGATCAGCTCTGGGACCTCTTCACACTGGATCTACCATGTACTCTGTGCAACCTTGAACCTCAGTTGGCACTTGTAGCAGCTCTTGCCGTGCATCCCTGATGTATCCACTGAGGCCAAGGACTGCAACCCATGGGCAATGCTGGTTTTGTCTCTCTTTAGGTTCTTAGCATGGTGATCAACGCAGCTTACAAGCCAGGGAGTGTTTTACGGGAACTGCAGCTCGTGGAAGACCCTCAGTGGAATTTCCAGGAGGAAACACTCAAAGCAAAGTAAGTCTTCTGTGCATGCCCTTTTCTTTGCTACCTTCAAGAAATGGAACTGTCTGGGAAAAAAAAATGAGAGAACAAAAGTTTTTATTACTGTGAAAGTTTTTCTTTTGTTGTTATTATTTTGCTTCAAGGAATTATGTTTGGCTTGTTCTGGAGCAGCTTAGGAAGTGAAATATTCACCTGAGCATTTCATTTCTTTTGTCTTTTTTCTTCAGCAACCATCTGGATTTTGAAGCAAAATGCAATGTTTGTTCAGCAAAGTCCTGACTTTATGATAAGCTACTCCTATGAACTTGGCTGTTATTGAATTCAGTCAGTTCAAGGCTTTTCTAAATGTAGCTGTATTACTGCTTTTAATATAGACCCTGTCACTCTGCTGCAGAAAGATCTGTCAAGAATTAATCTCTGGAAGAAAGAAATACAAAAATATTGCATACAAAATAGTACAGACACATTTTTAAGCAGGAAAGTGATTGGAACAAAATACCAAGAGGTCTGACATCCACACCAAGATTTGATGTCTTTCTAGGGTATTCACTAGAATATATATTAAAGTTTTRTGTCTCTGTTTTGTGTCTATAAAATACTAGATGTACCAGCAAAAGCTTTTTATTTCCCTTAAAACTTTAATATATACTCTCTGAATTCTTTTTTTTTATGTAATAGATACTGTATTCAGTATGTATCCCTGCAACCATTATTCCTTGTAAAGAGGAGTGTCTCACCATAGAACCTCCAAAGAGCAATTATTCCCATTTTATTAACATACTGCTGTCAGAAAAAAAGTTTTTCGAAGCACCTCTCACTACTAACTAGCTTAAATGCCTTAAATCTTTGAGTGCTAAAGGTAAATGTGATGAATTTCACTACTTGTATAGAACTCTATTACTCCCTTTTTAAATATATGCAGTAAGCTTTTGATTATTTGAAATAGTTGGCTCTCAGTTATGACATTGATTTCTATTGTGTTTGATCTTTGGCCATGTAGACATTACAGAAAGCTTATGTGTACTGTGATTGAGGGAGAGAATTGAGAACCCTTTACTCTGCAAAATCAGAAACTGTCCTTCTGAAGGAGGACTGAAAATAGAAATGAGAGACTACTAGAAAACCTGATTTTTAATGTGGTTCTATTACCCATGTGACAGTCATATTTCTGGTGTTATTCAAATGAAATTTTGCATATGCAAGATCAAAAGATSATTTTTGCATGTGCAGATTTTCGTTAAAAATAAGTCATGATCTATGGGCTGTTTTTCATTGATGCCAGGCTCCAGCACCTTATTCTGACAAATGCCAGATATAGCAGCCCGACTGATACTTAGTGGTTGTGAAACTGAATTACACATTCTCACCCTAATGTTCTCTCGTTCATCTCTACCTTCCCCTCTGGCACTTCTATCCATTCATTCTCGTGTCTGTTTTTCTCCACCTATCTATTCAGCAGAGGGGCTAGCCTGCCAGGATATATCTTATGCCTGTATAGTCCTCCAGACAAAACRATGTGAGTCCTTTCCAGCAAAGATATTTACATGTCATTTTGGGCACAAGTGTTGTTGTACATCCACTGTCCTACCAGGGATCAGCGAGTCAGGCAGCATCTTTCCRCTTTGTCAAGATGAAGAACTTTCCCTAGGAATCATTGCAGGCTCAAAGCGACRACAACAAGTTTTATAGTGACTTCTGTTCTCATCTCAGTGTGGCATTTTACTCTGGGTAGTAGAGAGACAGAGCTTTTGAGTCCATACCATGCTACAGTAGTTACGTGGCGTCACTGGGACTGTTTCATTGAGAACTCTTCTGGGATTTTAATTGCATCTGGTTATGCAGAAACATCAAAGAGAACAAGCTCATGGAATCAGCTAACCCAGGATGTGCAAAGTGACACATGACATGTTACATCAGGTATGACACTCGTGTGTGCTCCTGAATGTTAATCAGAGATCTGTAACGAGCAAACGGCTGTCTCTGCTGACTTCCAACTACGATGGCTCCCAATGGTATCTTGCTGCTAATGATGACAGCTCTACAGCCAGCTGGAGCGTTTGTGCTGTAATGTGACATGTTGTGTCGTCGCCTTCCTTCTGATGTGAGCTGGCATCTTGGATCTTGACAATGTTGTTGTTTGTTTACTATGATGGTTGGAGCAAGGTAAAGCAAAGGGGAATGAGGAGAAAGGTGAAGACAAGACCAGTCTTTCCTACCAGCCTGAACTCAAACTTGTTTCTGGCCAGGAATGCATTATCACAGTCCTAGGGCAACCTGCATTCAGTTGACTCTGCTATCATGTGAATGACCAGCATGGAATCAATTACACCAGCCTTGCCATGAATATAAACAGCCTAGATGATTGTCCCAACAGATGTGTTTGCACAGTGTGATGGCAGTCGCTTCCCATCAGCACTGCTGACTCTCCATGAAAATAGTCAGACCTGATTTACTGGTAATGATGAGCTAGAACTGTCAGTCCTGATCCCGTGAATTCCCAAGAGCTGTGGGCATTCAGCCCTTGCAGCTTTGATGGTTTAATTTCAGATTTGCTGTCCTGGTCTTGTATACAAATGCTCACGGGTCTTTTCTGTTTCTAAGGGCTTTTATTGCTTCATCTGCAAGCCACGCTACAGGAAGCTCACCCATTTTTTGCAGTATTTAGGTAGGACCAGAGTATGCAGAGTGTTTGTTTTCATACTATGAAACTGAGTTAATCAAAAGTAAAAAAGAGAGAAAAAAACGATGTTTCTGAACATTTCATTATCTCAAATTCTGAGACCTGCCCAAATCTAGCAGCTGAATWCCAAGAATATTAACCCATAATCACAGAAACCATTGCTTATTTATGAGAGTATGTTTCAAAGAAAGTCTTTTTACTGTGGATGCTTTACAAGATTTCCTTTCATCTGGGATGAATGATGCTAAGGTACTTTATGCGTTCTTTGCTTCAGTCTTAGCTGGCAAGATTTGTTCTCGGGGCTCGCAGGTCCCTGACACCAAGGGAATGAAGCGTTACTGGCAGACAAAAAAAGGAATTGGAGATTACGTAAGATACCAGTCCACATGACTGGAAGAGATGCAGCYATGGCTGCCTGGTGGAACGGGCCAGTGTCATTGCAGGACCAATGTCTGTTGTCTTTGAAAGGTCATGATCATGGGGAAGGCTTCCTGGAGTCTGAAAGAAGGCAAGCATCCGTCTTCAAGAAAGGCAAGAAGAAAATCCAAGTACTTTCAGGCTGGTCAACCTAAACTCAATCCATGGGGATTCTGAGGCAAATCCTCTTGGCAGCCATTTCTAGGAATATGCGGGACCAAAAGGTGACTYGGAAAAACCAGGATGGATTTACCAAGGACAAGTTGTGCCTGCTGTGATAAGACGACTGGTTTGGTAGATGAGGGAAGATCACTGGAGGTTGTTTACTTCAACTTCAGTGAGGTTTTAAACACAATCTCCCATACTGTCCTTATAGCCAAACTCTGGAGATATGGATTGTCCCATGATAAGTTGAAAGGAAAACTGATTGGACAACTGCGCTCAAGGGATTGCAATCAGTGATATGAAATCCAAGTGGCAGCTGGTTATTAGCAGCCCCACTCTCAAAATCAATATTAATCTATAGCTTGTATCATTTAGTTTTCCCTCTACATCAGCTTGGCTTTCAGTGCTATGTACTGGAGATAGAAGCTGTCAGGATTAATGGAATGACTTTTTTTTGGTCCATAATCAGGAGGAGACTTAACCGGACATGTCCTTACAACTAGTAAAATGGCAGGGACCTCACTGAAATTTATTTTCAAGTCCCAYTGGCCAATATAGACAGATTCTAATTCAACCATAATGAAGCAGATGTGTCATGGCACAACAGTCTCTAGCTGCTGCTCCTAGGTGACATTTTGTTCTCATAAACTTCTATTATGTTCCATCCCAAAGGAAGGTTCCAAAGAAGAGTAAGTGTAATATTTCCAGCAAGATGTTATTAGCTGAAGATTATTCCTCATGGATTAGCCAAGATTCCGAGCACATTTTTCCTGGGAATAATTTCAGCCGTTAGGGTTTCTCCAACTTTGGTGTTTGTGGACTGAGAGAAGGGGAGACAGAAAAGGAATAGATGTTTGACTTTAGGTGTAAAGCCTTTTTTTAAAGGAAAAAGGAAGGAAAGGAAGTGATTTCCAAGAAGGCTTGAAATGTGATTTGACACATCTGTTTTTGAAGACTTAGCACTGTTTTACTGTTTATGCAAGTTACTTGCAGCTTAAAAGTGGGAAGACTGGAGTATTAGTATGAAAGTATCAATAGGAATATCAGGTGTAAGCAGTTTTTTGAATGACGCTAGTGGAAAGAGGTTTCCTGGTTTTATCCTAGGAACTCTTTGGACGGGGCATTTTAAACAAGCTCAGATTACGTTTGGTGGTGTTTATGTTGAAAGGCTTTAGGGTGAAGCATGGAAAATGTTAGTAGATCCTGCTTTATAGTTGAAAGAAGTGCTACCTAGGCCTTTTTTTTTTTTTTTT